ATATATCAGATGTTGTCATTCCCAGAATGATATGCATGATATATTTTACGTTTTCACTCTAAAATGGGAGTGTGAGTTGTCAATTAATCAGAGTGGTCAGGCAACTTAAGCATTAAATGAAATAACAATAGAAATAATGCTCATCAACTTTTTCTGCAACCACACTTTTAGTACATTACAATTAAAATGTTTTATTTCCTCTTATAAAAATAGTGGCCCAAGGAAGCTAGGGAAGAATGTTTTAGAGCAGTTTCCAAACTTATCTGAGAATAAAATTCACCTATTATTTACATATTTCAGGGTCCTTCTCCTGGAATGCTGATTCTGTATGTCTAGGGTGGGCTTTGGAAACCTTACTTTTATGAGAGATTCTATTTTAAGGAAAACTTGGGAAATTCCTATTTTGGAAAAATTGCAATTGACCAAAGAGGAGTGAAAACACAAAGAACTATTTGTACAGGTAAAAGTAAAAATAGAAGCACAGCTAATTAGATGTCTTACGTACCTTTTACAAGTCGACTGAATCTACATTGGCATCACTGCATGCAGACAAGTACAATAAAAAATATATTAATTCAAAATATTTTGCCCATTTATCAAGATATTTCCAGCAAATGTAAGTCTCTGGTTGAAAAGTAGATATAGTTCATTGCAATTATGCAGATATATGCACATATTAAAAATTTTATCCTATAAGTAGGCCCTAGAAAAAAGTAATATTAAAAACATGCAATCTTTAAAATTAACCAAAATTATTTTAAAGGTAATTTCGGATTCAAAATTTAAATTCTACTTAGAGTTATCAAAAAATCCCTTTCTTCCCATCCCTATTCTTTGATAATAAACATTTTATTTTTCTTTCATACTTCCTAGAGTATAATTTTTCTTTTCAATTTTATATTTGAAGATAGGACTATAACTACCAACAGTCCTAATAAAGGCCAAATGTATCTGAAAAGTCAGATTTTAATCTTCCCTCTCAGAAGTAATATAATAAGGATTGTATTCTCTATTTGTGTTGTTTTTTTCTTAGTTTTAGTTTTAAATGAAAGAATATACATGAAAGTTCTAATTTTATAAAGTGCTCAAGAAATTTAAATATCCCACTTGGTGAATCATTGTCATCATGACCAGTATCAGCCTGATAGTCAGGCTTGACTGAATTCCTCCTTTGTGTCAGGGATAATGCTAAGCCCTGTGGGGGATCTGGAGATGAAATAACATACATTTCCTGTCCTACCAGTGAAGGACACACTAACTATAGTGTAAGTTACAGTGCGATAACCTGTACTATGGAAGCTCACAAAGTGGAGGATTGCAAAGGAGGGCCCTGCAAGAGGGAAAGACCTTATGGAGAGAGTGGCTTTGGAGCTGGCCTGCAAAAAACTTTCTATAAAAATGCTTTACTCTCAACAGTCACTAACCTTCCCTAGGAGCGTCGCTTTAACTCTTCATTAATTATTTGGCGATGTGAAATGATTAATGTTTAATGCTCTCCTATGGAACAGACTTTCTCAAGGTTCAATTAAATTGTTTGAGTCATTTAAGTAACTAAATGAAAGTTTGCAATGGAAAGAAAACGCAAAGACTCCTCAATACCGGTTTACCTTGAATATCATTTCATGTGGATCCTTTGAAGATTTACAGACTGACACACTTTAATATCAATTTTCTCCCTGTGCAAAATGAAGAGGAGAAATTACTTGATCCATATAATGATCGCAACGCAGGCCTCAAACTAGTATAATGACCGAATAATTGAGGCAAAGTAAGTTTTCCTCAACTATTCAGGTAAATGTTTAACTTTATATTAATAGAACCATGAGACAGTTCTATTATAAAATAGACAAATAACAGAAGGAAGGAGAAAATTTAAGGCAAGGAAAAAATTACATTTTATACATTAAATAGATGGTTCTGAAAGCCGGTACTGCAGGGAGAGTTTTATTAATAGTAACACTTTTACATTCTGAAATAGAAAATAATCCTTAGGAAAATGTTCTTATTTGCTTCACATCTCTACTTTTTCAAAGAGCTGTATATTACTTTCTTGCATTCTCTTCAGATTTCAATGCCTAGTGACTGAATGGAAGAGTTGCAAAATCTATACATCATAACTGATAGTTTCCTTTGCTCCATATATTCAGCATAGAGGTGTAGAAAAATGGGATAGGAAAAAACCATAAAAAATGCAGACTTATTTTGCCACAAATCACAAACATCATAAATGTAACATCTTAAATTTTTTGAAATTCAAAGTTATATGTGTACACAAGGATCATATAGTTCTTCTAGCAAGGTTTGTTATGAAAAACAGCAGTGCCCTATCACCCTCTCTCTCTTTCTCCCTGCTCAGAAAGCAGCTGCTTTCACCTCTTATAGCCAGTTATTTTGGTATTTGCCTCCATGTCCTAAATAGCATGTGTTGTTATTCTTTGTTTTTGTTTTTTCAAATTCTAAGTATTATTGACATTCAGCTATGGAAGCTGAGGATTATGCTCTTTTTCCTTTCCCCAAACCAATAACCCCAACCAGAGACATATAATCCTTCTTATCCTCTCATCCCTCTGATGTAGTTTCATCATGATTTTGAGTAATTTTCAGTGTGTATGTTATTAAGATTATGAAAATACTATTCACAGATGAACTTTTCCTGCATAGCTCTGTTTTTCATATTGTTTTATTTATTTGTTTCATTTCTAAGTGCTTGCTGCTAAGATCTGAATGTTTCTGTTTCCCCCAAATTTATATGTTGAAATTCTACCCCACAAGATGACGGTATTGGAGGTAGGTCCTTTGGGAGGTGACTAGATCATGGGGATCTTCATAAATGGGATTAGTATCCTTATAAAAGAGTCCTGAGAGACACCTCTTGCCCCTTCCACCATGTGAAGACACAATGATAACGTGCTATGAATCAGAAAACGGGCCCTCACCAGACACCAAATCTACCTGTGACTTGATTTTAGACTTCCCAGCCTCCAGAACTGTGAGAAATACATTTCTGTTGTTTATAAACTACCCAGTGTACGGTATTTTGTTATAGCAGCCTAAACAGAGTAAGACAGTATTTATTAATTCTACCAAGTTTTCGAAATTATCTAAATTACCTCCTAAGATGCTTAGGTGCAGTAGGTATTCTACTGATTTAATCCTCCTGAAGAGGTCTCCCAGTGCCTTCCGACCTGCTGCAATCTGCAGTGGCTGCCGCCTACGCCAGGTACTCAGCTGCTGTGCTGGGTTCTTCTTTCACTCTCATCCTAGGGCTTCCCTTCATCTCTTTACTCTCTGCTGGATTTTCTGTTTCCTCTATCAGGTGTCTTCCTTTTTTGGTTTCTTCTCTTGTTTTGGTAGAGCAAAATCTCCTTTGATGAGAAACGCCACAGAGCAGGTAAATTTCTTGAGGTCTTGCTAGTCTCACAACGTCTTTATTCCCCTGATATTAATTGGTAGGTTGGTTGGGCTTAGAATTCTTGGTTGGAAATAATCCTTCCTTCAGGCATTGCTCCACTATCTTTTGGCTTCCTGTGTAAATGCTAAGAAGTCTGAAACCATTCTGATTCCTGATCCTTTGTGTGTGGTCTGTTTTTTTCTCCTAACCCTAAAACTTCTATGCTCTTCTCTTTCTCTCCAGTGTTCTTAAATTTCACAATGATGTGCCCATCAGTCATTTAAATTATGGCACTTTCAATTTGGAAATTCATATGCTTCAACTCTAGGAAAATGTCTTAGAAAATGTTTATTTCCTCACCTCTGTTTTCTATTATAGCTATACTGGATGATCCAAAGAGGCCAAAGCCTGAAGGAGAAAATGGCCACCTCAGCTAAGGTCCTTCTGTATTTATTTCCAAGGACACGTGCAAAAGGTTAGGGTCGTTTGCTAATTTCTTTACCATCCATGCAGGTCAGCTGTTTTCAGCTGACCTTTGCACACAGCAAACAAGCAGCTTAGGGCAGGCATTTTCACCTGAGCCTTCATTCACCCTGCTCACGTTCTTTCCATCCATCCATCCTTTCTTCCAGGCCCAGCCCCAACAAGATAAGGCTTGAACCATCAACTAGGTTGAATTATGGAAGGCTCTGAATGCCAGGCCAAGGAGGCAGGACTTTATTCAACAAATATTTAAGACCTATAGAAGATTTTTGCATCAAAGAAAGGACATGGTGAAGTTTTAGGAAGCTTCGTCTAAGAGTATTACACCTAAGGTACTGAAGGACACAGCAGTTAGAACCCCCAACATGTTGTCTTTGGTTGCTACTTTTCTCTTCCTATTTGGAACCTCGTAATTACAAATCCTTGTTAGATACTTCCACCAGAAACTCAAATTCAATTTTGTTCCAAAGCCAGACTACTCTTCTTCCCTGCAAACCTGGGACTCCTGACTTTTTTATTCAGGTAATGACACACACCTTCCTGGAAACTAGACTATCTCTGATGTCTTCTTCTTCATCACTCATATGTAATCATTCCCTTCCTCAGGCTGATTCCATTATGAGCCTACTAAATTCATGAATCTTCAAAATACACATAACCCAGTGATAGAACATTAAATTTGGGATCATGAAATAGAATTTTTCATTTTTTAAAAAGGGAAATGTTATTTTTTGTTATTAATACTTGCACTATAAACAGAACTGTATAAGCTAACATTGCACTTTCTGATTCTCCCATCCCTTAAGAGACTGAGTTCTCAGGCTGTATTAATGGAGCAGTTTATTGTTTTATCTCTTTTTGAGTTCTACTTTTACCTTCCAAAGTGACCAAACTATCAGTGCTCTGTTAAGGTAGATTTGGCAAACTAGTTAAGGCTCTCTTCAGGTAGGAAACAACTAAATTAAAACAGGTATATGTTATTACATACACATACTTACATAAAAAAGAAGAAGAGGAAAATGAGGTGGGGACAAACTGTAAGAAAATTCTGTTTATATTGTATTTACATGCAGTTAAAATTCTAAATGCTGACTGCCACATTAACCCTTTTTTCCTTCTGATTTAGTCCCTTTTATGGTATGTTAGTCTCTTCTCAATTTCCAGTCTTTTCTTTTACTGATTTCCAGGAAACTTGTGTTTTTAACTGGCTTTTACTCTGGAAGCATCTAATGTCATTGGGTGACAGCTGTTCCTCTCTAAGATCCTTGTGAAATGTATAGTATCTCAGCATTTTGTAATATTGAAAGGAGCAGATAATTTTTCAACTAAATCAAAATGTTAAAGCTTGCTTATAAAATACTACCAACTTAAATTAGACGAACAGTTCTTCTCTTGAATGTCTTAAGTATGATTTTGTATGTGAGATAGAGGACAAAGGAGATAGCCAGAAGGAGTTGACTCCTTTTCCAAGATCTGCTTGTTTTTTTCATCAACAGCAAACAGAATATCTGATCTTTATCAGGGCAGGGACTTGAGATGCCCAGTTTCTGTGTAGTCAACCTTTTAGCAATGGGAGAATATCCTGAATAACATAGTTCCTATGAGTAAGAGGAAAAGGGTGCCCAACATGGTTTGAAATGTCAATCCCTATCCATCTATTGCTCCTACCTTCTTTTTAACTTGCATATTAATCATTTGATACTGCTCTTAGGTGAGAGAAACACTCCTGCGATGAAAGGATTTTATTATCATATACTAAGTGTAGCATAGACACTACACTGTTACCTAATTTTTGCCAGAAAAAAGTTTAGGGTGAACTCTAAAATCAAAATTATCAACCTTCGTAGAATTTCTCTAACATCCAGTTGACTTATATCCAAGAATTATAGTGGGTCAAATCATTCAGTTCCTTGGGAATATAATTCACAACCAATTCAACTTGGAAGGTCAGTAAGGACATTCCATGGCTCAAAAGTAGTTGAACATTTTACTTTGTCTTCTTTTCGTGCCACATGAACAATAAGGAACACCTGCTTTAAATATTTTTCACACTAAACATCACGCTATGTTCCAAGGCACAAATGTGGAACGGGCACGCTGACTGTTACTAAGTATTGAAAAGTGGACAGTTTTTGCCTGAGACTACAGCAATAGGTGGGTGTATGCAACCGCTTTCGAGGAACCCCAAGTCTTGGAGCGTCTGTGGGCACCTCGCTCCCCCAGCGGGAACAGCAGTTTTCTCTTCTGGCCCCACCACAGCGAACCCCAAGCTCAAAACCAACAGAATGAAGACCAGCTCAGGCGACGTCAACTGAAGAATGTGGCGGGCAGCAAAATTCTGGCCGAGGTGGAGAAAAAGAAAAGGCTTTCCGCTCTAACCTATCAGGTGAGAGGAAGTCTTGGCGCGCCCCTTTGCGTCTACCAATCAACATCTAGCTCAGTGGACCCGCCCATTGACCCCGGGAAAAGGCCTTTTAAATTTTATTAGTATAGCTTTCTCCCTCTCCCTCGGTCATTCCACGAACTGTTCTCAAAAGAGGAAAACAATTCCAAAGCTGCTCAGCCTCTCGGTGAGAAGCGAAACTATAGATTCTCCGTCAAAACCGTGGATTCTAGGAGGAATAGGGTAAGGGAAAGGAGGGTTCTGGAAGGCAACTACAGCTCCCGTGGGGCCTTGCGCGGACTCGCCGGCGGGGAACCAGGGGCGGGCCATGGTAGGGAGGAAGGCCGAGGGTCACCGGGCTCCTCCCGACTTCCTGAACGTGAGCCAGCAGGCGGCGGGACCTGGGGTGGGCGGAGCGCGGCGGCGTCCGGCCCCCCCGCGCTTTGTGTCCGCCTCTCATCCGCTCCCCGGACCGAGACGTGCGGGGGGCGTGGCCCGCGCGGAGGCTGGTGGGGGAGCGAGCGCTGCGGGACGTGTGTGACGCGTCTCTTTCCAGCTCAGCGGTGTGTGAGGTGTCGCGGCCCCGCCGGCGATTGGCTGTTGAGAGGCGAGTACGCGGCGGCCGTTGGTCGCCGGCAGCACGGAGCGAGGGCCGGGGCGGGCGGGAGGGAGATGGGGCGGCAGTGGCGGTGGCGGCGGTTCCAGGAGGCGGGCGCGGACGGACCGGCGGCCTCAGCAGCAGCAGCAGCGGCAGTCCCCGGAGTCCTGTGAAGCGCCCCTGTCCGCGCCGCTGTGGGCCCCGCGTAGAGGGCGGCCGGAACGCGCGCCGCAGAGGAGCCGCTCCCCTAGCGCCACAGCCTCCAGGGCTCTCGCTCCCATCCTCTCGCTTCTGCTCCGGCTCCTCCATCTTGGCCTCGGCAGTGGCGGCTGCCGGGAGGATGTGCCGCCTTCTGGCAGGGGGAAGAAGGAGGAGAAGATGAAGAAGTACCGGCGGGCCTTGGCCCTGGTCTCCTGCCTCTCTCTGTGCTCCCTGGTCTGGTGAGTAGCCGCGACATCACGGGAGTTTCCGTGAGCGGAGAAGAGGGGTGGGAGCAGCGCAGGTCACACCCCCAAGTCGTCTTGGCTTTCGGGGTGCGGGTTTCCAAGGCCCCCATCTGAGAGACAAACCGATGTTTTACTCCGCGACTGTCCCTCTCACTGGCCTGGTAGCGCTCTGTGCGGAGATTTGCGTGGTGTGTTTTGGAATTCACAGAGTCTAAGCGGGAGAGAAAGGTGCCTGGACAGAGGGGACCACCGGGTGCCTTTGTGCTCGGTTACTGTCCCCGCGGGAGGCGGTGCAGTGTTTGGGGTGGTGTTCGCGTAGACCGAGGTAAGTGGCTCGGATTTACCGCCGGTGCCCAGCTTTCTTCGTGTGGTTAGGGCGTAAAGCACGTCAGATGGTGCAAGTTCCGGACGTGTAATTTTGAAAACGTAAGTCGTCATGTGGGTAAGAGGAATGTGTGAGCAGTAGTTCTCCTCGACATTTCTCGCACGAGTTTTGGCCCCAAGTACACATGGGGCTGCAGTTCTCGGAAACTTTCGGGGGTGTTACGAAGCACTTTTTCAGTTGGTTTGGTGGAGAGGGTGTCTTACATGTAGTGTATACAGTAGTTTTTGGTAACGTCCCTGAGTAATAGGAGGGTGTTGGAAGACGGGAAGAGGGAAGAGTGCCTTGTCCCTAAAGCTTTATGGGGTTTCTGTTAACCCCAGGCACTTTGGGATTTTTTCTTTTTTTTTTGAGGAGGAAAGAGAGCTTGCAAGTTGAAGGATTGCTATCCGTGTACTTGGAAAAACCATTCTTTCCTCCCGGGGAATTTCTTCAGAGGTGTGACATTTGATGACTAAAAAGATGCTTCTTCAGTCAAGGCGATTTGCTGTTTATTGTATTAGTGTCCTGTTTAGCTTATTTTTACAAAGCACCAACACTATTTTCATTTTTTATGGATGCCTCATGGATTCGGAAAGCACTGAAGTTGTAGAGTTGTTGCTTACAGAAAATAATACATAAAGGGGAAAAGAAAACACTTGCCTGGCTTAGGAATTTTGATTGAGAGGATGATAGAAGTTTTAGAGAACAAAAAAATTGGCCTTTTGTCTTTCATTCTGAACCCTTTAAATAGAACCAATGACATTTTCCCCTTTCTACTTTTTAATATGTTGAGTACCAAGAAGTTTCTGTAGGAGATGAGTTCACTTGCTGCTTTTTAAATTTGCATTTGTAGGTGAGAGACTGTAAGCTTGTATTTTTCCCACCTTTCTGGGGCTGCCTAGTTATTTATAGATTATGTATTTTCTTATCTCTCTTCTGTCTCCTTGGTTTTGCTCATTTTTAGACTATGTTATTCTTTGTCAGCCCTTGTTGAATTAATTGGCTGATAAGGCAAGTTAGACTTTCATTCAGTTTAAAACGCACCAGTATCTCTGATTTTTTTTTTTAACTGGATGATGAAAACAAAATCAAGAGTGTGGCTCTTAAAATCATTTGTAAATTTAAATTAACCATGCTTCTATTACTTTTGGGAATTTCTGGCTTTTACTTAAGCTAACCTCAAATTGTTTTCTCAACTTTATTCATTGGAAATAGTGAGAAGATCATGACCTGTTAGAGAAAAATATCAGTCAGCCTAGTATTGAAAATAGTAGTCATAGAGTTCTGTAATGTTTGTGGCCTCCCAGAGTGAAAAATAGGTGTTGAAGGTTTAAGAAAAGAGTGTGAAAAGTTTAAGAATTAGTTTAAGAAACAATTGGGTTAGTATATTTTGAGATTTGTTTGGACCACTAAATTTAGAGACTTTTTAAAATAATTATTCTTTAACAAAGCTATTAAAAGCCATTAAAATAGGATGTTTATCCTTGATGTTTTTTTGGAAGAGTGATGATGAATGAGATTGGGCAAGAGAAGTGGTGCATAGCGATGATTGGCAAAGGGTATGCTTTGTCTTTTGAGACTCTTCTTGGGAAGGTGAAATCATGGCACTGACTTACTGGAGGTATAACTTTTGCTACAATCTGGTCTTGGGTTATCATTTCCCAACATTTCCATTGCTCTTAACAGAAGTGGGTACCAAAAGCCATTGTAGGGTTAGACAAAAAGTTTGCTGGAGAGTTGATCAGCTCCTTTTAGTAAAGCCATTTTGTCTTCTTTGTCATTCACAAATTGTTCCCAAATTTTGTGATACATTTCTATTTTATGGGTTGATATGTTTATGCTACAATGTTTTAGTTTCTAAAGCTTCCCCACATCCTACCAATATTACTGTATTTTGTTATCAACTTATTTGTACTGTTACAGTTACATAGATCATTATGTCTCACCTCTGCTTTTGTCTTTCCACCCTAGTGTACTTGCCTTGGATTACCTTCATAGAAAACCATCCTCATTTCATTATTTATTTTGGTTACTATTTTTTTTTTTTTTGCATAATATTCAAGGTATAAATGCACTGTAGCTGCGGCATAGAACAATGATAGCTAATATTTATTGTCTTCTAACTCTGTATCAGACACGTGGTGTGTGCTTGATATATAACATCTTTACTCTTGACAGGAACCCTATAAAATAGGTTTTAACTTCATTTTGCATTTTACATATGAAGAAGTAGAGAGGTTAAGTAACGTGGCTAAGGTTTAGCAACTATTAAGTTTTGGAGCTTAGATTTGAACCTAGGCAGCCTGACTTGTAGCACAGGCTCCTGATTGCCATCATTCTTTGACTGGAGGTCCGAAGGCCTGTATTCTATGTATATGGTTCTTACATCCTCAATATAGGAATTATACCTCACAGGGTTGTTAGGAAAATAAAATGAAATAATACTTACGATAAATCTTTGTAAAACAGAGTGTATTATCTATATATTTCATCATGAAATCATTCAACCAAGTTTTTTCCCATATGCCTACTGTGTACCAGATGTCCTGATGAGCACTGACAATCTAAAGATAGGGAGACCAGCTCATCTTGGTTTTTAACACTGAAAGTTCCATAAATCCCAGGAATCCCCTATATTAGTCCTATTATTGCTGTGACAAATTACCACAAATTTAGTGGTTTAAAACAACACACATTTATTATCTTACAGTTCTGGAGGTCAAGCCCAGAATAAGTCTCACTGGGCTAAAAAAAAAAAAAAATTAAGCTGTCAACAGGGCTGGTTCCTTCTGGGGGCTCTGAGGAGAGAATCCATTTCTGGAGGCTTCCTGCATTCTGTGGCCCCTTCCTCACATCACTACTCCAGCCTCTTGCTTCAGTCCTCATGTCAGCTAATGACTGGTCCCTGTCTCTTACCCTTATAAGGACTTATGTGATTACATGGGGTCCACGGATCCAGGATAATCTCTGTGTCTCATAATCCTTAATTTAATCACATCTGCAAAGTTTCTTTTACCATGTAAAGATAACATTCAGGGATTAGAATGCAGACATCTTGTGGGGGGGCATTATTCAGTCTACTGTACCAGCTCAGTCCTGGAATGGGAAGGTTGATCATCACCCCAAAGAGGAAAAAGACTTAATCAGTGGATATTCTGAGTGTGTACCCTAATTAATAAAATACTGTGCCTGTACCTTTAATATATGCTTAATTGTAAATTGTGTACATGTGCCAATACAATATTAGTACACATAATAAATTAACACAAGTTAGATGTTTAGGAAAGGTGAGATAAAAAATACTTTCTGTTAACAGTACCTTTATGCTCTCATTAAAATAGTAAGAATTTTTAGTGAGAGCTATGTGATTGATCTACTAGACTTTAATTTTTATTAAGACATCAAAGCATAGATGAGGAATAGTTTGAACTAGTTAGGAATCTTAGCCCTGTTAATTTTTTGTTAATTTGTGCTTACATTATTATCTTCGCAGTCTTAGCAGAAATTTTTTTTAAAGCTGCTTCTCCATGTTGTGAGGGTCAGTTTAGTTAAAACTGAATGATCCCTACATCTACTTACCTGGGCACAATAAATCACCGTGAATCATGGTGTGCTGGAAGTAGACCTTTTGTTTGTGGAACTTCCACTCCTTCCGTGGGTTTCTGGCTATAGTCCTTGCTGTTCTTGATCCGTGGCCAGCTGCCCCTTCAGACCAAGTATGAATCCTTATATTAATCTTAGTAAAGCTTAATTTATTTTTTTATAGACTAGATAAATCTATTCTTCCTACATCCCAAAGGATCATCTTGGATAAGCTCATATTTAGACTAATGCAAAGAGCTTGATGTTTAAACAATTCTCATACATTTGACAAATATAATTGGTACTTACAAAGGTCTTTGGGAACACCAAAGGAAGAATTTGTATTCTAGTTATAGTTCTATTAATAACTGTATGTCCTTGGACAAGTTGTTTCTGTGAGTTTCAGTTCTCATCTATAAAATGGTTTGCAGGATGGATAGCTGAAGATGGGATTCTTTTAGGCAGAGGGTACATTCTTGTCGTTGGGTTATCTAGAGTGTGAGTGTATGTGGGAGGAGATGGTAAGGGAAGCTAGGCCTAGGTTTTGAAGGGTTTTGATTATGGTGCAGTTGAATTCTGATTTTAACCTGACACAGGATGAGCAAGTGTAGTAGTTTAAACAGAACAGGAGCATGAGGTCACATTGGTCTTT